CATGCCAGTTTGATTTCAGGTCTTAGAAGCTGGAGTTAGGATCAGACATTCTTGGCCATCCCTAGATACGGAGTAAGTTTGAAGACAGCCTGGGATATATGAGACCCTGACTTTAAAAAAAAGAAAATCAGTGAGCATGACAGTATACCAGTTATGGGCCTAGGTTTTGTTTATTTTAGTTATTTTATGTATATGAGTGTTTTGCCTACATGCATATCTGTGTGCTATTTGTGTGCCTGGTTCCTGCAGAGGCCAGAAGAGGGTGTCTGAGTCTCAGAAACTGGAGTTACAGGTGGATGTGGATGACTTTGTGGGTGCTGAGAAAACAAACCTAGATTCTCTGGGAGAGCAGCCAGTGTCCTTAATTGCTGAGCACTCTCTCCCTGTGGGCCTTAAGATCTTGAGTACCTGTCCCCGACCCCACCATCTCTGCTGTTGCCTGAGACTGTCCCATGTTGGCCTACAAGAGGGTGCAACACCGAGAGAGGAGAGCCGCAGTGCCCCAGTAGACAGACAGGAAGCTCTCCCAAGAAGCAGAGCCGTGTCAGCCAGCATGAGGTGCGCATGGCAAGCCCCAAAAAAGAAGAGTGGGCCATCAGGGATCGGCCTCATCTGGGCCCAATCTTAAATTGAAAAGTTCAGTCATAAGTAATGTGTTTTAGGAAGGCTCGGTATGCTTGACAGCTAACCAATAAATAATCCAGTGCATATAGAATGCCTTCAAGCCTTGCTTGTTTGAAATTATCTTGGTAAGTCTTTGTTAAATACCAGTTTCCCTTTTCCTTATAATAGTGCTAAATCCTGTTAGATTATCTTTCAGTTCTAGAGCAGTGGTTGTCAACCTTCCTGACGCTGTGACTGTTTAATACAGTTCCTCGTGTTGTGGTGACCCTCCGCCATAAAATTCTTTTGTTACTACTTGATAACTGTAATGTCAACATCTGAGATGTAAACTGTGGAGGTTGTGACCTACAGGTTTAGAACCACTGTTCTAAAGAAGTGCATGTAGACATGTACACAGGTTTTGGTGTCAATGATCACACTGTACACCACTAACCCCAAGGCTTAGTAACAAAACTGTATTTAATGATTTCATGTTGATTACACTGAAGTAACATTAAAATACATTGAATTGTTATTAAAAATGAAGAAAGTTGAAAAGGGGACTATTAATATCCAAGATCTACCAACCATATAAAATGAGTTTGGTAATAGCAGCGATTATAAAACATCAGCCAAACACTGTACATGCCTATAATCCTAGTTGCCAAGGAGGTTGATAGGACAGACAGGCCTTCCTGAAGTACTTGAAATCCTGTCTCAAAAGCATGTGAGAAGCCCTGGGTTCAATCCCTAATGTCATTAAAAATGTCAGGTTTATGTCCCCTCTTTTGTCTGTCACAACCACTGTTCTTGGTTTTACATCTAAAATGCTTCCTCCCAGGATGTGTGTCATCCTCTATGGGCACCCTTTGTTTCTTTAGTGATCAGTCTAAAACAACAAACTGGGCCTCCAAAATCAGGACCATCGCTATATGTAGTAATAGTCTTTGTTACTGTTCTTCTACTTTGAAGAGACACTGGGCAAAGCAACTCTTAGAAAAGAATGTATTAAGAGGACTTGACTAACAGTTTTAGAGAGTTATTTAGTCCATGGTCATCATGCGGGAAGCAGACAGGCACGGTGGTGGGGTAATAGCTGGGATCTTTACAGCCTGATCCACAGGCCTCATTCTCACGGTTGCCCTGAATCCTGCAAGGGCTTTTGAAACTTCAAAGTTCACCCTTCACCTTAGGGACACTCCTCCTCCAACAAGACCACACCTCCTAACCCTCCCCAAACAGTCCCCAGCTGGGGACTAGACATTCAGATACAGGAGCCTCTGGGAGCCATTCTCATTCAAACCATGGCATCCCAGCCCCTAGCCTTCAAAGGCTTGTAGCCATATCAAAATGCAAAATGTATTCAGTCCAGCTTCAGAAATTCCCATGGGTTTTGAGTTTCAATACTGTGCCAAAGTCCATGTCTCTTGAGATCCATCTGTAACCCCGTGTAAAAGCAAAAAGCAAATCACATACTCCAGCACACAGTGGCATAGAATATACATTACTATTCTTCAAGGGCCACGAGGGGGCATAATGGATCAGCTGAGTAAACTCCAAAACCTGTGTCTGTGTCCTATGGCAAAGGACTTAGATGACTCTTCATCCCCTCCATCTTTGCTACCTGCAATATATTCTCTCTCTTGGGCTGATTCGACAGTTTTCCTTGACAAGTGTCCCACAGCTCTGACATCTCCAACATCTTGGGGTCTTCAAGACAATCCAGGCTTCACCTTGACGGCTTCATGAAGTGACCTCCATGCAGGGGACTCCTATGCCGCAACATGGACCCAGTAGCTTTTCTTAACTTTGGGGGAAATTCTATAATCCCTCGTCTATATCCTGGACACCAAAGCCAGAACCATATGGCCCAAGCTGCCAAGTTTGCTGAGGCCTGGCCCCTCCTTAAATCATATGTGCATAAACTTTACATTGTTGTTTTTTTTTTTTTTTCTTTGCTCCTTAAACTGTGCTTTAGTTATTTTTCACAAGTTGGAAGCTTAGCTGGGTAGAGTCTTGCCCTGAGGCAAGATATTCCCTTCATTCCATTTTAAATCAGGCCTTTAGACTTTGGATCTCCTTGAGCACAGAGCTTGGCTCCAACATAGCATTTCCTGATGCTCTTTTGCTCCTCAAACTATGTGTACATGTATTTCTCTTTAAATCCTGACCCACAAGGCAGAGAGTGCTACTGAGCCCGGCATGGGCTTTTGAAGCCTCAAAGCCTACTTCCAATGACAACCTCCTCCAACAAGGCCACACCTCCTAAACCTTCCCCAAACAGTCCCCCAACTTGGCACTAGACATTCACACATAGGAGCCTATGGGGGGGGGCATTCTCATTCAAACACAAATACTATGGTAGGAAAACCAGGAAATGGCATATGTAAACATGTAGTCTAAAAGGAAATCTTCCTTGATGAGAAACCATTAAAAATACACATTCTGGCCAAGGATTACACACACATCAATGAGAGACCAAAGGAATGATTCCACTCCTGTCAAGATTGCCGAACCAGAGAAGTACGGGTAACCCTCCTAGTCACATCTCTGAGACGCCCCACACGAGGATGGACGGCAATGCTTCCATAGCTACATTAATGAACTCCCCCACCAGTTAATATTCTATTTTGTGTTCTGTTAACATTTTCCAAGACCTTGTGTACCTGGAGCAGAATTCTAGGCAAGTGGGAGTGGCTAGAATCTTGGGAGGGTCAAACAAGGGAAAGCTGACAGCCCCAGCTGTGTAGGGAGGGTGTCTTGGGCTTGATATACTCACACATGTTCTCTTAGGGAACAGCATTCTACATTAGTACACCAGGAAATAATAGGCAGTGGCAGGTTACGGTTAAATGCCTCCTCAAGTGGGAAGCAAAACAGGCGGCATGTAGAGAGGTAAACAGTGCTTCCCTCTCCTACTCTCTGGGCTCCCATCAATCCAAGCGATCTCAAGATTTAGCTCATGTGGAGCATATGACATCTTTTAGGGACTGCATACCAAAATATTTCATCACCTGGTTCTAAAACCAAACATGTAGAATTGCCCATCATCCTACAAGGCCAAATTCTGGAAGATGGAATACTACTTGATAGGGTTGGTTGGTGGATCCTCTAGATACCAGATTTACATTTAGAGGGGAAAAGTTCTTTTGATAAGCAGATTTGTTTAATATATATACAAAGCTTCCAGTAAGACCACAGATGAAGTGTATGAAAGGGAAGATAATTCAGGGAAAGTAGTCTAAACACAATAATTATTTAAGAGCAAATTGCTGCCTTCTTCATGATGGATTGATTCCATTGTAATCAGACCTGTCTCTGGGGCCGCCTAATACTATAACACAGGTCAGGACAGTCATTAGAATTACTAATTGCCACTAGTAATGGTAGTAGCCAATCAGTCCTGGGAGAGGAAAGGCAGTTAAAAATGTACACGTGTGTCTTTGTTCTTATCACCATAGCTACTGTACTGGTGGATGCTCAGAGCAAACACAGCTGTGGTAAGAGAAAGTGGCTGAGGTGGCTCTTCTTGATGGTCAGCATTATGGGATTTAATGCAGTAACTCATCCAACTAGCTATGGATTTGTTTTGTTTTCTAAAAATGGGCGGGCATTGGTGGATTTCATTATTTGTCATATATAAAGTTTTTACCTCAATTTTTAAAACGACTTTATATGAGTGTTTTGCTGACATGTATGTATTATGTCATATGCATGCCTACTGCTAACCAAGTCCAGAAGAGGGTGTCAGGGTGTCAAACACTAGAACTGGAGTTACAAACACGTGAGTTGCCATGTGGGTGCTGGGACTAAAAAGAGAAGCCATCTCTGCAGGCCCTCAGTATTTTAAAATATTTTTTACAAGATTCCTGACATGGGACAGTCTCAACAATCAATTCACATGAGTGGATAGTCTTTACTTAACTAAAATTTTCTTTTCAAAATTTGGGAACGTTCAATGTAATTAAATGTTTGTTTGGTATTTTAGCTTCAGGTTTATAGAGCAATACTTTGGCACACGTATGTGGCATGCGGAGATTAAACTTTTAAAAGTCATTAGTATCTGCTGATTATGTAGGTTATTAATACGTGTCTAAAGACGTAGTGATCAGATTAGGGTGATTCATGCTCCCATCTCATTGTTGGACTTTGCCCTCCTCTAGCTATCCAGGCACGCTACACACTAGGGTGGTGTGAACTGTAAAACTTGTTGCCCCTGTGCAGGCTTTCGGTTTTGTCTGAGTCCATCGGAATGGCCAGGAGCGATCTCCGGGAACTGCTTCTGAAGGAGGTGTAGCTATGCAGAGTTTCAGGAGCCAGCAGTTCAGGGTGGCCTGAAAACCCGACCCAGCGAAGCCCCGCCCAACTCTGCTTCCCTGGCGCCTGCGCAGACAGCACGGGTCCCGGGCCGGGTCCGAGGTGGCCCCGCCCACTGGCTGCGCGTGCGCAGACGCTGTGGGAGAAGGCAGTATGGTCTCCGCCAGCCTTGCGGGGTCTCTGGTGGGCTCCGTCCGGAGAGCAACAAGTAAGGCAGGCGGTCCCCCGGGGTCCCGGGACTCGGGGACCGGCGGGGGAAGCCGGTTTCGGACAGGAGAAGGCTCAGGAGCAGAGACCCGGCGGCGGGGCCCTGTGACCTGACCGCAGGCTTCCGAGCCTTTCGGGCGTGCTTGGCGGAGGGGAGCGGAGCCTGGGGTGCCGCTGGGACGTTTGGAAAAGAAGGACATTTCAGGGATGAATGCCATTAATTTACTTGTTTGCTTACGTCAAGAATAATTTGTACCAGGCAGGAGGTGCGTGCCGTTAGTCCAACACTAGGCATGCAGAGGCAGGAGGATCTCTTGAGTTCAGGGGCAGTCTGGTCCGAATGTTCCGGAAGCCATAGTCAGACGAGGACACATAACGAAAAGTACACGAAGCCGAGAACTGTTAGAGGAGATGATGCCTGCGTGCCGTCTATGGAGACTAACGTTTTCAGAACGGTTGCATTATGTCTCATTATATTCCTCAATTAGCATCCCAAAAATGTTTCAGGATGTAAGTTTAATTATGACATCCCTGAGAGATCAGGGAAACTGAAGACAGAATTGCTGCTTTCTTAACAAGTGGCCCGATTTTTAATTTAACTTTTCTAGTTTTCCCCTTCAAATACTTGATACCTGTAGGTTTTTAAAATTTTAAATGATCTATATAATGAATATTATAGAAAAGGAAAGGCTCCAAACTCTTAGGTGATAATGTTAATACTTTAGTGTTTATCCAGCATTCGCTGTCTTTAAACGACTGTGTAATATTTGATACCAGAAATTATATATACATACATACACACACATATACATGACCCGTGTATAAAGTATAAAGCAAAAAAGAACATTAATGAACCCATTTTCCCACAGAAATGGTTCAATGCAATTTGCATTTTTCAACTACTCATATTTCAAGATCACTCCATACAGAAATGTGAGGTGGTATATTTTTACCTGTGTATGATGCATTTTCCATTCTCCTTATGGACGCTTGGGCAACACTAGAAATGCTAGCATAGGGTGCTACACCTTCTGATGTGTTTCCCATGCCCAGGACAAGATAGAAATCCCTAAAAGATGCTATTTTATTGATTATAGTGTCTGGGTTGGTGCAAGCCAACTGCTTGCTTATCCAAGGAACTGAAATTAAAGCCCACAGATCGCAAAGTGGCAGTGAAACTTTAATTCTTACACTTCGAGAGAGCAGCAGGTCACAATGCAGAAAGGCCAGGGTTGGATGCCCAGGGTCTCTTCAATGGGATGTACAGGCAAGAGGAGGCTGGTTACTAAGGGGTTGGGGTAGTTCACATTTTGATCAAAATAATAGGTAGTATAATCATTTTCTGTATATTTTCCTTCTTATAATCCATCTGATTTTAGTCATGTGCTTGCCAAAATAGACGTAAGATGTTAAATATATTTTCCTTTAATAAGTCACTTTTAGGGTTCAGTTTTCCTTCCTGGGCAAGCACCCAAACCCAGTGTAGGTCCCACCCAAACGCCAGGACCAGGCGTTTCTGGTCCTGCATTGGCATACGAAAAGGGTACACTTGAATAGGATCTAAGTTTCTTGTTGAGAAAGAAAAATCCCATGTTTCAGAGAGGGATGTACATACATCCTGGTGCTATTGGGGGTAGGGGTAGGGCTTATGCTGTTAGGTGCATCTCTTGGAGAGAGGTATATGTGCATAGTATGTACAGGTAGGGAAATTAGGCTGCCAAGTGCATTATTAGAAGAGGAATGTGTGCATATTCCAAAGTCGTAGGTTACCAAGCTATTGCTTATACTTGCTTACCTCCTTACTTAATAGCTCTTTGCAAACATGTAACACTGGTAATCTCTAAGGAAGGAAAATGTGTAGAATGTAGGTGTCTGGGAAACAGTTTTCACTGTATGCCATTTGTCCTTTTTGAACTATGATAAAATGGTCAAAACACAAACAGGCAAAGTTAGTCTTTCTTTTTTTTTTTTTTTTTTTTTTTTTCTTTTCTTTTTTTCAAAGTAAAATTTTTTTCTCCATTAGGATTTTCCCTTCTGAATAATTCTTTGAGGAAAGTGAGTTATCAAAAAGGAAAATCCGAACCCATGAAGCAACCTCTTAAGAAGTCAAAGTTGCCAGTGGGCCGTTTTGATGCGCCAGAGGATTCCAACATGGACAGGGAGCCGCTGACGAGTGAGTAGAGTTACCCACTGTCAGCATTTAACTCGCTACTAGAAAATGAACACAATGTGCCCTTAATTGTTACTAACAGTTATAAAGGCTATTTCAGCGAGTAAAAAGACCATAGGGGCCGTCTGTAGGCACGGTTGTTACCTGGGTTGGTGAGATGCCTCAGTGCATCGAGGACTTGCAGGACAAAGTGCAGGACAACTGGAGTATAGATTGCAGCTCTCTTTTGCTGACAGCCATGGCAGCCCACTGTATTTCCAGTAGGAAGACACGGGATCCCTGGGGAAAGGCGGCCACCTAGACTATCGGAATTGACAGTCTTTGGGCTCAAATGAGAGGCCTTGCTTCACTATACAAGGTGGAGAGCAACCAAGAGAGACACCTGAAGTCAGTATCTGGCCTCTGCAGATACACAAGTGCATGGATGCATGGGCGCACGCGCACGTGCACACACATGCATACACACATGCATACACATAGGCATACACACATACACATAGGACCCCAACCAAAAGACGTTTCTAAATCTGGAAATGGTGGTACATGCCTGGAATAGCAGCACTCTGGAAACTGATGCCAGACAGTCAGGAATGCGAGGCCAGCCTGAGCAGCATAGTGTGTCTCAAAGAAGGTCCTAAGTTTCTAAGTTCTAGTCCTTATTTAGTTGTTTGGGGGTTTTGTTTGTTCGTGTATACTACACTTCCATTAGGCAAAAGATAAAACATGTAAGTTGGTATCTTCTGTGATCCACATAACAAACCTGCATTGTTGACAAGACTTTCTGCAGTTAAACAGTCAGCTGGAGCAGATAGATCATCATCAACGTACAGGTAAAGCCATGTCAAGTCTCGGTGAAGATGTTGGGCCTTAGAAAGCGACGGAACACGGGGCTGCATACTGAAGGGAGGGCAATTCTCCAAACTCTAATAACCGCCCTTCAGGGTTCCCTGTCATCTGTCCACTGCACAGAAAGTGGCATCTGAAAGGGACACTAGCCCACTCGAGCAAGTGGCTCCGGCAGACCTTGCCCTTCTCCCCCATTCCCTCTGCCTTGCTAACAGACAGCTAGATTACATTCCTAAAGCCAAGGTCTGGTCCTTTATTTGGCCACTTCCTCCTCCTGAGGCGGACAACCAAGGTCCAGCTACCAAAGTGTTCAAGTCCAGCAGTCAGAAGCCCCCTCTGGCTCACCTAACTAATATGCCCAATTAAAATATAACACCTCATTCTAACCCAGGGTTTCCCTTGTACCTTTATAAACTGCTGTTTTCCTGTGTGCCCTGTCCGTGCCCTCTCTGTCCAAACGTAGTCCTTTGCTTTGTCCTCCAGGAAAAATACCCTTGCAGGCTCCCCTTGTTTTTTTGTTTTGTTTTGTTTTGTTTTGTTTTTTTTCCCCTTCTCTCTCTTTCTCTGTCTCCCATCTTCATCCCTTATCCTTGCCATCTGTCCCTCTGGGACAAATAAATCCTTGGTCTTGGGGGTCCTGATCCAATACTTCTTCAAGTCTATTACCAGAAAGGTGGTAATAGACTAAACAGAATTTATTGTTGTTTTTCTTTATTTTTTAATTTTATGACTTTGTTTGTTTGTGTGTGTGTGTTAGAGTGTGGGTTTGTGTTGAATTCCTTAGAGATGGAGTCACCTGCATTGATGCTCTGAACCAAATTCTGGTTCTCCAAGCCTTGGTTCGGGCCCTGTTCTTACTTTGATTGTATTGGCTGACTTTTCATGGAAAGACATTTAAAAAGTGAATTCATTCCCAGATAGGGCACTGGTAGGGGATGATTCTGCCCAATTGCTGAGTCAGTGAATTTATTGAGATTTCTGACAGGAGCATGGGAAAGTGGTGTGGTGGTTAATTTTTCTTATTGCAGTGACAAAAATCCCTGATAAAAACAACTGAAGGGAGGAAGGGTTTGTTTTGGCTCACAGTTTAAGAGGGGGCAGCCCATCATGACAGGGAGGCATGGTGGCCAGAGCGTGAGGTGACAGTCACATTGTGTCTGTTGCCAAGAAGCAGAGAGGCAGATGCTGGTGCTCAGCTTGCTTTCTGGCTTCCAGGATCCAGGCATGGCATGAGTGGATATTCAGGGTGCATCTCTCTGTCTCTCTGGAAGCTCTCTCCTAGAAACACCCAGGGATGTGTCCTGGGTCACTTTCCATCTTGTCCAGCTGACAGTTAAGATCAACTATCACATGAGGCTACTTACAGGAATGTGGGCACATCAGAAGTAGGAAAGAAGTTCATTTGGGCTTACAGTTCTGGGGGGCTGAATTGCTAACAGCATAGTGCTGGCATCTGGGCTTCAGCGTGGCTTCCAAACCTCACCAGTTCGAGGTCAGAAGATAGACCTGCCCATGTTAACACATGCCCATGTGTTATCAGTACATACACACCTTCGGTTTTTCATTCCTTGTGGTTACATTAAAGCCACCGTTCTTAGAAGATGCCAAACACCCGGTGCCAAAAGACACCTTTCAACCTGACCTGAACAGTCAACAGCCTTAGGCAGGGTTAACCACTGCTTCTGGCGGTTTCCAGCTCAGCTTCTGTTTTGCTTTCTTCATCTTCTGCTATTGCTTCTGCCATTTCTTCCTGGGTTGTTTTCAAACTCCCTTGTTTGTCCCATGCCTCCGGAGTCCCCGTATCCTCCTCAGGTGACTTTAAATATCTCCTGCGTGCTTCTCAGTTGTCCTGTCTTACCGGCCTCTTGAACATCTGGGCATGTTTCAGACATCTTAAAATTGCTGTTTCTAAAGCTAAACTCGCTCTGTCCGCATGGTGTCCCCTCATATTCCTCCCTCTGCCAGCCTGACCCCTACATCCTACTTTTCATCCTGCTCTCCAGTAGACTCCTCCAGCCAAATTACACAAGCCTGGTGCCCAGGTTAACCCTTCCCTCGGGTCTCACTGTTTCCTGTAGCCAAGTGAATGAAGTCCCACTGATTCTCCCTTATTAACTTGCCCCAAATTCATCCCCTCACGCCCTTCCAGTGAAGCTCCAAAGCAAGCCGTGTTCTAGCTTGTTCCCTTCAAGTCTTGGTTTCCTGCCATGTTTCATTTTAAGGGAAATGTTTAGGCTAACCTGTTGCAGTGCATACATTTCACCTCTAAGATGATAAAAGGGCCAAGCGTGATGGTTTACATGTGGAATCAAGCACCCAGGAGGCTTTTTGAAATAGGATGGTGATTGCTAGGTCAGCATAGGATACATTACCAGCCTCTGTCTCATGACAGATTAGATAGATAGATAGATAGATAGATAGATAGATAGATAGATAGATAGACAGACAGACACACAGACAGGGTAAATGGGGAGATACATAGCTACCTGTAAACATCTGATGGGAATTAGCATGACAGACGGAAATGAGCAGAAGAAGGTGACAAATGAAATGTAAAGGACAAATGAAGCCATGACAAGTAGATGTGCTGGGGAAATGCTTGAGAGAGAGAGAGGTATGGCCATACAAGAAGAGATTACAGAACATGGCACATGACAGGCACAAAAGTCAAAGAGGAAAGAGCTCAAGAGTGAGATGCAGAGAGAAACATTCAGGGGGTAAGGAAGGCCGGTGGGAGGGTCCAAGTGCGATGAGCCTCCTTATAGGAGGGTTAGGGCCCTCTGTGTCCTCAGTGTGTGGATGCTGGTGTGTGACGGATGAGGGGGGGAGAGGTGACATTATAATCTCAATCATCTTACAGAGCAGTATAGAAAAGTCCATGAGCTCCTACAACCTAGAGGCAAGCATTGGGCAGGGGGGTACTGTGGGATTGAGCAGAGGAAAGTCTATCAGAGTTTGGTGGTCAGCATTGAGAAGGGGTATCTCAATGAATGTGTGCGTTCGTGCGTGCGTGTGTGTGTGTGTGTGTGTGTGTGTGTGTGTGTGTGTGTGTTAAGGGTCTCATGTTCTAGACTAATCTGAAACTACTGGGCTTAAACATTTCTCCTGCCTTCATTTCCTGAATAACTGGGACTACAAGCAAACCACTAAAGCTAGCTCAGCATCTCAGGATTTTTTTTTTCCCCCAGTACTGTTAAAGCCCTGACCCCAAATGTGAGGGTATGTGGAGACAGTTGGGTTAAGATCATGTGGTGAGGACTAGTACCCTTATGGGAGAGACACTGCCTCCCCCTTTTCCATGTGACAGTTCAGAAAGAAGGGACAGACCATAGTCAGGAAGAGAGCTGTCACTCCAACCACCCAACCAGGCTGCCCCCCCCCACACACAGTCTAACTATTTTGTCTGAGCATTCCCAGTTAACAATCACACCCATAGAGTCCCAGGAACCGGGGGGTGGGGGGATGGGGCAAAGAAAAACTTCCATACAGACTTTCAGGGTTATCACATAAGTTCCCCCAGAAAACAGAATGATGACGAGTTGGGCACAGTACAGCAAAGGTAAAGATTGAAGGAATGTTTGGAAAGTTTCAAGGTGACGTTGTGCATCTTCTTTGGTTAGTATGTGGAGGGGCTGTGTAATTTGTGGCAAGGATCTTTTAGTTCTCCCAAAATACACCATTTTAGATGAGAGGTTCTTCCTAGCGCCTGGTCCTCCTCTGTTCTTTGTATACACAGAGCAGTGCCACATGTGAGTTTCAATTCAGGCCCCATCCTGCAGTTCACTCGCTGTGTGACACTGAAGGACTTTGTGCTCCGGTAACGTGGGACAGCATGGCTTCCTGACGTACAGAGTTAGTGTGCGTGCTGAGTGAATGAAGGTGTATACAGGGCCGAGACTCAGCATTTAACAGCAGCCCGGGAACATTAGTGACAACATCAAACAGTAAGCAACGAAATTGATTGATTAATTAAAAGTTAAAATTCTCACTGTGGCTTGACTCACAGTGAGGATTCTCATCAGGAAAATGTAGCGTGTGTGTGTGTGTGTGTGTGTGAGAGAGAGAGAGGGGGGGGAGAAATAGAGAGGTGCTTGTGTTTTCTTACTGGACACTGAACTTCACTCTCAGCCTATGAACACAGTGTTAAGGCCAATAATATCACTATGCTTGTAAACACACACACACACACACACACACACACACACGGTAAAGCAAAAGTCTATGTCAAGGAGCAATAGTGCTCACGAGTAAAATCATCAGTCAGCACCTGTCACTGTGCTAGACCCTTTATGTAGACCCTTTGTCAAGTCAACGATAGAAGGCAGGTATGACAGCCACCACACCCCGTGTGCGCATGCACACGGACGTGCACACACACCGTCCACGTTGAACTTGTTCTAAACCTTCCAAAGTCAGTGAAGCTGCACCCTGTTCTCACTCCTTCCCACCTGTTGGGTCCAGCACGAAATTACTTTCTAGTAGTTTCTAGACCTGAAAGCACTCCAAGAATTAGAAGCCATTAGAGCCAGTGGTAAGGCTGATTGGCTATGAAAAACGCGCATCTCAAGCTGTGGGTGTGGGAGGAGAAAAGAACCACGTGCAGGCTGTATTTAAAGACTGTGGTGAGCCAGCACACTGTGAGCCAGCAGGCTGTATTTAAAGACTGTGGTGTGCGTGCGGTCTGTCCTTCCTTCCATCTCTGCTGACTGCCTCATTCACACCTCCTGTCTTCCTTAGAGTTCCCAGATGATGTTAATCCAGTTACCAAAGAAAAGGGCGGACCCCGGGGCCCAGAGCCCACACGATACGGAGACTGGGAACGGAAAGGACGCTGTATCGACTTTTAGGTCACACATCCGTCCATCCGTCGTTTTCCGAATGACTCTCTGCACAGTGTTCTTCCTCTGCATCCATGTAGTTTTCACCCTGTGTGGTAGCCGTGAAGAACAAACGCCGCTGTAAATTAGGGAAGGGGAAACACTTTTCCATGTTAACTTTGACTTGTGTGTTGGGGTAGAGAGAGTGTGGTGAGAGCCGCAAGCCTTTGCTATGATCTTTGTCAAAATAATCAGTTGCTTATTAAATGCACATGTAAATAAATATTTTTAAAGGTTTTCTTTAGACTGATTATTCTATTTGTGTTTTTCCTGCGTGTGTGTGCACGTGCTTGATACACATCAAGGCCAGAAGAGGGCATCCGATCCCCTGGAACTGGAGTTACAGGTTGTGAGGCATCCTCTGGGTTCTGGAAACTGAATCAGGGTCCTCTGAAAGAGCAACAAGTGCTGTAAACCTCTGAGCCATCTCTCCAGCCCCCAAGGTTTATGTGTATTATTTTTAACTATGTTTATATGAGCATGTCTGTGGGTATGTACACACTAGTGTAGTTGTCCTAAGAAGCCAGAAGAGGGCGTCAGATTTTCTGGAGCTGTAGTTACAGGCTGTTGTGGGCCTCCTGACCTGGGTACCAGGGACCAAACTGAGGTCCTCTGCAAAAGTGGTACTCTCTTTTAACCACGAAGCCATCTTCCCAACCCCGAGAAAATAACTACCACGTGACTGTTGCTATGACTAGGTGTGCTGGCTAGTTTTTGTCATCTTTACATAAGCTAGAGTCATTTTGGAAGGGGGTACCTCAGTTAAGAAAATGTTTCTGTGAGACAGACTGACCTGTGGACAAGTCTGTGAAGCATTTTCTTCACATGACTGACATGGGAGGGCCCAGCCTACTGTGGGCAGTGCTGCCGTGGGGCCGCGGCTTGTAGAGAAAAAGCACGTTGAGCTAGCCGTGGAGTGCAAGCCACTAAACTGCTTTCCTCTTATCCAGCTCCTGATTTACCTACCCCACCTTCCCTTCATGATAGACTATAAACTGGAAGATGAAATAAACTCTCCAAGTTGCTTGTAGTCGGTGTTTTATTAAAGCAACAGAAACCAAATTGGGACACTCGATTAGTTGTGTGTGTGTGTGTGTGTGTGTGTGTGTGTGTGTGTGTGTGTAAGGGGGAGAGTGTATGTGAGCATATGTGTGGAGGGCAGACAACTTTGCGAGTTAGTTTTCTCCCGCCACCAAAGGTCCCAAGAATGAAGAACTCAGGCTATCGAGCTTGTATAGTAAGCCTTTGACCCAGTTAGCCACCTCACTGGTTCAATGGTGACTTTTCAAATGTGGCTTAAATAATAATAATGAAGGTGACAGTAATGATACAGAATACTTAATCTGGAACCAAATAAGTCCTGCCCCCCTTCTTGATGTCTATATGACCCTGAACATGTTATGAAATGCCGCTGTACTTCTGTATCCTTTTGTGTAAAGTGGAGATAATAGTGGTTGACAGGACAGTCGGGTAGGTTGAATAAATGAATATGTATGCATTAGAATTCCTGAGAGAAACCGAACTGCAGAGGAGAGGCGTGTGTGTGTGTGTGTGTGTGTGTGTGTGTGTGTGTGTGTGTTTGTGACAACCCAAGAGCATAAAGGGAGATTATGAGGAGTAGGTCCTCTCTCCACTATATAGATTCCTGGGATCACAAGTGCCTTTAACCACGGAGCCATCTTGCCAGCCCAAAGACTGAGTTTGAAAACAGCTGGAGCAGTGCAGTAAGAGCCTACCCTCTTAAAGGAAAAAAAGAAAGAAAAACTGAACAAAACACAGCAAGAAGAGATAGTTCCTTTCAGAAGCAACCTCACAGATGCCCAAGGGTAGTTTCAGCATGCATGCCAATTCCTGCACAGCATAACACACATCATTGTAACACATGCCGTTCATTGTGTTCACTATTCTTAACCATGAATGTATTTTTCCAGATCAATAGGCTCCCTGTGGGAATGATCAAGAAAAGCAAACTTTTAAATAATTGAATTAAAATACTTTTATGTGAACACATTAAAGAGTCGTTAGTTAAAAACGGTGCTAACATGGGTGGGTGGAATGAAAGGCCTATTAGTCAGTGAGACACAATGAAGATGTAGGCAAGCAGGGAGCAGACAACTCTATTCAGTTCAGTTCCATAACTGCACAGCTTTTGCCTCACGGCTCAGAGCCTCTGGGCTCACCTGAAGCATCGTTTGCTGTGTCCTCTGCTGCAGAGATTGGGCCTTCAGCCCCCCTGGCTATGCCAATTGCTTTGGAAGAAAGGGTTTGCAGAGCTGATAGACAACGGAGTGCAGTGGGTGAACCATTGAGTGATGTCAGTTGTAATGTAATATGATAGGAATATAAACTGGGAAACCATTGAAGAGATTAACTTTAATATTTTAGGTGGGTTTTTTTTTTAATGTGCATGAGTGATTTGTATGCATGTATGTATGTGCACCCTATAAATGCCTGGTGCCTGAGGATGTCAGAAGAGGGCATTGGATTCCCAGAAACTGGAGCTAGGAAGGCTCGTCAGCTGCTGTGTGGTTCCTGAGAACTGAATCCGGGTTCTCTGCAAGATCAACAAGTGCTCTTACCTGCTGAGCCAACTCCCCAGCCAGTGGATAAACATTTTGAATTATGTCAAGGAATTAATTTTCATGCTAGTTAAACTAGATTTGCTTTTGAGCCAACACCACTTCCTTTTTTTGAGAGGGGAAAAAATGATATTTTTATTTTATGTGCATCGCTGTGCATGTCTGAGCACCAGGTGCATGCAGTACCCTTCGAGACCAGTAGAGGGCAACAGATCCCCAGGAACTGGAGTTACAAATGGTCGTGAACCACCATTTGTTCTTTTCCTTGTAGTTTCGGCTAAGTAAAAATATTTTGAAAATACTCAACCTCCTAGATTAGTGAACATTTACTAAAATAACCTTTTGAAAAATATATTAAATTATTTTGAGTTATTAGTAACAGACCACAAGAAATCAAAATCATGCTACTCTATACTAATTATCACAATGTGTGAGAAAGAAAAAAAGCCTGTACTTCCAAAGCAAGGTTAAAATATACAGTAAGTGAGGCTTTTTCCTTTTATCCCAGGGCTTGGGAGGCAAAGGAAGGTGAGTCTCTGTGAGTTCCAGGCAGGTCTTGTCTATGTGATGAATTCCAGGACAGCCGGAACTCCGTAGAGAGACCATGTCTCATGGGACACACACACACACACACACACACACACACACACACACACACAATGTATCTATACACACATATGGTAAACAAAATCTTAAGATAATAAAACATTTGCTAATAATAACGCATCTCGGGCTAGTGAGATGGTGAGTCGACCCAGCAGGTAAAGGCACTTGCTGCCAAGTCTAACTGCCTTAATTCAATACCCTGGACTTACATGGGTGAAAGAAAAGTTGTCCTCTGACCGCCACATGCACCCACGAACGAGTATGAAAGTTTTTGTTTTAAGTCACACAGCTTATGTCAGCTCTCCGGCAATATTGATGGCATAAAAATACTTGCATTCTCATCCATGAATCATTAGTGAGAAAACTCAAAAGACTCTAGGTTGGTGTCTGCTGAAAATGATGTGGCTGGCGGCCACGAAAATAACAGCTCTCAGTATCAAATGGGAAGCAGAGTCCACACAGACCCCCTCCGCCGCTGCCACTGTGACCCTGCTTTCCAGCCCGTGAATGAGTACGCAGGGTGATGTTACGTGGACGGTCAAGCTGACAGGGTCTCATCACCTAGGAAACCCGCTCTGGGGCACACCTGTGAGGGAAGACTCTGAAAGAAGGCAGCCCCATCCATCACCCGGGCTTGGGTCCTGACTGCAGAAAAGGGGAACTTGCTGAGCAGTGACTTGCTGTGATGAAACGCCATGACCAAAGAAACTTGGGGAGGAAATGGTTTATTCAGCTCATGCTGCCACATCATCACTGGAAGTCAGGACCAGAACTCAAGCAGTGCAGGGACCGGGCGGCAGGAGCTGATGCAGAGGCCATAGAGGGGAGCTGCTTGCTGGCCTGCTTCCCATGGCTTGCTCAGCCTGCTTTCTTATAGAACCCAGGGCCACCAGCCTCAGGGTGGCCCCATCCACAATGGATTGGGTCCTCCTTCCTCAATCACCAATTAAGAAAACACTCTACAGGCTGGCCTACAGCCGGTTATTATGGAGGCCTTTTCTTACCGAGGCTCCCTCTCAGATGGCTCTAGCTTGTGTCAAATTGACATAAAACTAGCTAGTAGAACGGGCATTCATCCCTTTTCCTCTTCTACCTCCTGACTCTGGTTGCTGCCGCTCTGGTGTCCGCCATGATGGACTGTAAATGTGAGTCTAAGTAAACCCTCTGTCCCGGAAGTTGCTCTTATCGGGGAATTTTTACCACCTTAACAGGAAAAGTAACAAATACACAGGGTGACTAATGCAGCCATCTCTCTCCTCCTCTAACAGAATCTTTTTCTGTTGGCTGCCTAGTTTTTTGTTGCTGTCTGTTTTTTGTCTTGTTTTTGGTACTCTGCTCCTCTCCGAGGCCCTTTGTACCCAGTCTGTGCTTTCACTCTCCTGCTCACTGATACGCACTGGGACAGTGGTTCTCACCCTCCCTAATGCTGTGACCCTTTAATACAGTTCCTCATTGCTGTGGTGACCCTCAACCATAAAATTATTTCCATTGCTACTTCATAACTGTAATTTTGCTACTGTTATGGAGCATTGTGATGTAAATATCTGTGTTTTTGGATGGTGGTAGGCGATCCCTGTAAAAGGGTCATTCCACTCCAAAGGGATCACAGCCCATGGGTGGAAAATCACAGCACTAGGAGAACCTGAATTGTTAGTGCACACGCTTGCTCTTTCAAAGGAAGGAATGTTACCCCTGTTGTCTGCCCAGAGGGCTGGGAGTGAATGTACATTGTAGCCTGGTGACCTGCGTGCTGTGTGATGACAGACCACACCAGACCCTGGTCCCCCAGGGTCCCCCAGACCCTGACTGTAAGCCAGGTTTTCTCGGCCAGTCTATAGAACCCTTCTTTTAGCTGTCACGTGTACTTTACAAGGAGTTTCACTGTAGTCATGTCTGATCTTTATTTAGCTTACTTTCTTCCTCAGTGAAAGAAAGGTATGCCTTTTTTGTTGGTTTGCTTTTTTGTTTTGTTTTGTTTTTGAGATAGAGTTTCTCTGTGTAGCCCTGGCTGTCCTTGA